CCAGCCTGGGCTACAAAGTGAGCTCAAGTTCACCCTGAACTGCAGAGCAAGATCTTGTCTCAAAAAAGACCAAAAAAAAATAATCTTCTCAATGATTTGTTGTGTTCTGTTTGCCAGTATCTTATTGAGGATTTTTGCATCTATGTTTATTGGTTTATAGTTCTCTCTTTTGGTTGAATCCTTCTCCGGTTTTAGTATCAAAATAATGCTTGCTTCCAGGAATGAATTTGGAGATACTGCTTCCCTTTCAATTTCATTAACGAGTTTGAGAAGTAGCAGCATTAGTTCTTCACCAAATTTCTTGTAGAATTCAGCAGTGAATCTGTCATTCCCTGGGCTTTTCTTTGTTGGAAGGTTTCTAATTACTTCTTAATTTCATTGACTGATATTGGTTTACTTAGAATTTTCATATCTTCTTGATTCAGCTTTGGTAATTCATATGTATGTAGGAATCTGTCCATTTGCTCTGTTTTCCATCTTATTAGAAATAGGATAGAGGTTTTAGAAATTGGTACTGTTGATCTTCTGGATTTCTGCAGGAGTGATCCAGTATTTTATTCCTAAGTTTTTACCTAAAAGAAATGAAAACCTCTGTCAACACAAAGATTTTTACATCAATTTCCATAGCAGTTTCTATTTCGGGTTTTTGTTTGTTTGTTTGTTGGGGCTTTTTTGCTAATATGCAGCAACTGGAAACAATTGAAATGTCCTTCAATAGGTGAGTGGACAAACTAAATGAAGGTATATTTATCTGTGTAACTGAATGTTTCTTGGCAGCAAAAGAAATGATTTTTATATATGCAGCAACCTTAATCAATCTCAAATAATTGTACTATATGAAAAATTTTTTAAAAGAACTGAGTAATACCCTTTATAAGAAATTCTAGACATTTAATTCAATCAATCGTTAGAGAAGAGGTCAGAAGGCGTAGAGAAGAAGATGGAAAAATTACCAAGGAGCAGGAGGGAACTTGAGAGGGTGGGGCCTGCGATGGAGTGGTTTGTTGTCTTGATTTTGGTGATAGCTTCATGGTACATATGTGCTTCAAGTGAACCAATTTTCACTTTAAATATTTATTATCATATGTAGCATATCTTTTTTTTTTTTGGTTTTTCTCCGGTACCGGGAACCGAACTCACGACCTTGCGCTTGCCAGGCATGCGCTTTGCTGCTGAGCTAAATCCCCAGCCCCTGTAGCATATCTTAATAAAGGTATCAAATGATTTTTTTTTTTTTTTTTGGTACCGGCAATTGAACTCAGGACCTTGCACTTGCCAGGCAGGCGCTTGTGCCACTGAGCTATATCCCTGGCCTTAAAAAGATTTTTAAAATTATATCAGGCCTGAAGTTTATGGAGTGTATGTTAAGTTCTTACCATAAGAAATAGCCTAACTTGAGGGATTGGTAATAAAGGAGGAAAGGGAAACTAGATCAAGGTTTCTCTGTTGAAGACTCATATGTACCTTCTCGTTTGGCTACTGCACCAACTTGCACTTGTTATCATCTCATATGCTGTTCGTACACCTCAATGTAGGTAAGGAGTTTAGATGATTAAAGGAAATAAATGCCATTCTGGGAATAGTTTGTGTGTGTGCTGTGTTGCTTTAGACTCCTTCCAGCCTCCGCCAGGAACTTTGCTATAACCTTTAGCCTCCCCCGCCAACATTTTTGGCCTCCTCAGCTGCATGTGGAATCCCTCCCCTTGGCCAGCATCAATGGACAAGTGTCATTTGTTGCTGACCTAAGATAGATGTAAGCATTCTATTCACTCCATGTGTCCACTGGAGAAAAGGCAAGAGCATGAACACAGCAACTGCTTTTCGTTCTGTGGTTGTGTGCCATTTAACACGTGGCTTTCACGGGAACTGTTTTCATTCAGTGGCTTTTACAGAACTGTTTATTATAATAAGCACAGTAATGGTTCTCAAAGTGCTGCTATCAAATCACCTGGGATGCTCGATGTTTTAAAAAATATTGATTCTTGGGCTCTAACCTGGACCCAGTGAGTCAGAGCTTCTGGGATAAGGTCTGGACTCTTGATGGCGTTTCACCATCCGTTTGGCCTTTTTAACAAATATGTGTCTGATGCTTAGAACTGGGTCCTGCGTGCTTGGAGTAGGTATTAATTTTGAGGAACAATAGATGTTCAGACCTTGCCCTCACATTATCCATCTATGAGGATGAATGAAATCTACCGAAATATATACTCTTAAAACATACTAATAAAATATTACTGATATATTAAGACAACTAAAGGGTGTGAGTAGAGCTCAGGGATGGTGTAGAAGGAAATAATTTAGATTTCAACTCTGAACAGGTCAGGGAAGGAATGTGGAAACTGAGAAGGGGCTACAGTTTACTTTAGGAAAACTGAGAGGCTACAGCTCACTGAGAGGACAGAAGAGTGCGTGGAGCAAGAAGCATAGGCGAGGGCAGCCTTGCTCAGCAGCTGCAGGTTTAATAGAGTGTGTGGGACAGCTACGGGCTGTCTAATTCTGGAGGAAAATAAATAAGGAATACGAGCTTTCTTGGACATCACCCTTTGCTTGAGTAAGGAGAGCAGAGCTGGCCCCCAATACTGACTAAAGCCGTCCTCACCAGGACAAAAGCCGCAGTAAGGATTCTTCTGTTTGTGGTCCAATGGAAATCATGAGAGCGGGTGAGGTGCAGGAAGTAAGTCTGAGGCTGAATTTGGGACACACTCAGAAGAGCTCTAGGGTCACCAGCCACTGAAGTCCTCTTGGACTTTCCTGACAAAAGAGGCTCCTAGTTTGCCCACTTTAGCAGAATATGAGTCTTTGAATCTGTTTTCATTTTCTCTTTCTGTGAATAACAATTGTAAGTACACCTTCTCAGGGGACCTTCTGCGCATGTGATGCTACTGAATGCCTTCCATTTTGACCCTCCCAGCAAACCCACAAGCTAAGTATTCCCAACTCCTTTGGGAAGATGAAGCTAAGGTTCTGAGTGATTAAACAGCTTGTCTGCAACTGGCAGCTAGAAAGTGAAAGGGTTTGGGTTCAGAACCAGCTCTCTGGGAATGCAAAGCTGCTGATAGTAGATCTTTTGCAGTACTTTCTTACTGCTAGTGAAACAAATTACCACACATGTAGTGGCTTAAGACAAGGGAATTTATTCTGGATGCCCAGACATCTAGAGTGGATATAAAAGACTGTGTTCCCTCTGGAGGATGCAGGGAGGTGTGGGTTTCCTTGTTCTTTCTGGCCCTTAGAGGTTGCCCACATTCTTTGGCTCATGGCTCCCTTCTGCACTTCAGAGCTTGCAGCCTCATATCTTCAAATGTCCTTCTCTTGTCTCTACTGCCATCTTACAAGGACTCTTGTAATTGTATTCATGGCCAACCAAGGTAATCCATAATTATATGCCCATCTCATAATTCTCAATCATATCTACAAAGCCCTTTTACCATAAAAGGTCATGTTCACACGCTCCAGGGATGAGCCCATGGATGTGGGAGGTCACACCTTTCTAGGTAGATTTTTAAAAATTTTACCTGAGCCTGGTTGGGGGGCCAGGGGTCCATTGCCATTAGGGTCCAGGCTAGTAGCAAATAACTAGAGTCTAGCAAATAGCTTGAAGTTCTACATTGAATACCACTAGTGGCAGTTTAAAATACATGTGAAATTGAAATGCATGATAATGGTAGCACAAAAGACAGAAAGGAAGGAAGAAGAGGTAGCATTTTCTGCTGCATCCCACACAGCTCTCAAAGTTCCCAGAGGGAAGGATGGCCAGAGGATGGAGAAATAAAGATAAGGGACAGAAAGCTGAGGTCAGGTGGAACTTTCTCTCTGGCTGGGAGGAAAGGAACTGCTCAACCACTGAAGAGCATTTATGTATACTCTCAGGAGGCTGGTGTCAGTTTCAACCCCTCTGCCTAGCAACTGTGCCTGGCTCACCTGCGCACGCATCTTGTTTTTGTGGCTGTGGGATGGATCTCCAGCTTTTGCTGCTCCTTACAATTTTCAATAGTTTGGGTGCTATGGGGAAACTACACGTGTCAGTTACATGTTAGTATGTTAGGGTAGTGTTATCTTTGAAAGAAAAATAAAATGTGTAACTAGTAATCTCATAAAAAGGAATAATACAATAAAAATGTAATCAATAATCAAAGCAAAATAGAAGACAGCAGAGTACCAAAAGGTAAAGTGAATAAAAAACAAATAAGATGATGATAGATTTAACCCAAAATATACCAATAATTTTATCAAATATTAACAGACAACTTCATTTTAAGAACAAAACTTATCATATGGCCACATTTCCCAAACTTTAGGCCAAGGAACTCTGGGGGCCTTGTCACACTCATTGGCACATGAGAATATTTTAAATTTTCAGTGGAAACAGCAATTTTTGACCTCTTTGGGGCCAGGTGTAGTAGCACATACCTACAATCCCAGCACTTGGGAGGCTGAGGCAGGAGGATTGTTGTGAGTTCAAGACTAGCCTGGGCCACAAAGTGAGCTCAAAGCCAGCCTGAACTGCATAGCGAGACTCTGTCTCAAAAAGACAAAACAAACAAACAAACAAAAAACAACAAAAAAAAAACCAAAAACACCAATTCTGACATCTCAAATCCTATGTAAATTGCAAACTACTAGCTCAGAGTAGCTTCTGGTTTCAACAACAGATCACTGCAGGTTCCTCCTGTGGCAGATATTTGTAAACTTGGGTTTTTAGCAATTGCTATAACAACAAAAAGAAAGAAAACTGTATAAAAATTAATATGGAATAGGAAATGAGCCAGCAGTTTCCAATATGATTACAAGGTTTGAGAAATGCTGCAATGCCCCTTATCCCATTATTAGATAATTCTGATGGGCATGAGACTCATTTTGTTCAGTTTATTTAATAAGTGGGACTGTCGTGTGCTTCTTTGGACCAGAAACACCTTGAAAAAGTGACTGAGCCTCTGAGGCTGCTGAGGGGTTGGAGGTTTCTCTTTTAACTTGCATATTGCTGTGGTCTCAATCTCCAGGTCAGTGTAAAGCTCCAGAATTGTTTGAATTTGCCAGGCCTACAACTCCAATTGATAAGACTGAGTTTCCTATTGGAACATCTTTGAAGTATGAGTGTCGCCCAGGTTATAGAAAGAAGCTGTTCTCTATCACATGCCAGAGTAACTCACTCTGGACAGGGGCTGAAGATATGTGTAAACGTGAGTACCTCCGAACTGGAAATCCCTTGTCAGTCAGACATTTGTAAGGGGACTCTGTTTGTTCAAATTTTAGAACTGGGACACATATGACTTTATAACTTTGCCTGTGTTACATTATGTGTAAAGTATTCTTGTAGATCATATCTTCATGTCTACTTTGAGTTCCTGGTGCCTCAATTATGACTTCGTTTTATAAGACATTACCATCACAATGCATGATTGAGAGAAAAACCCCACTCACTTGGGGGTGATGTCCAATTTTCACTAAAACTAAGTGATAAATGATTCAGAAGGGAAGGATAGTAAGTAACCAGAAGAGAAAATTCCAGGCTCTGAGGCTGGTGAATTACACTTGTTTTAAATTAAAGTATAGCATTGTGGCAGTAAATGAAGTATATATGTTTCTGGAAGCCACAAGGTAACCATGAGGAAGAATTTGAGGGGGCTCCTTTTGAAAATGGTGCCTTCATTGTGGCTGATCCTAAAGCAATCTAGTGAGTTTCCTTGAAGTGGAAAAATCTGTAAATATAAGAAAAATCTATAAATACAAAAATCCGTAGTCTACAGTCAGATTGGCACTCCATGCACTGTAATTTCTACCCAGCTCTAAAATTCTATTTCCTTCCCATAGGTAAATCATGTCAAACTCCTTCAGATCCTGTGAATGGCATGGTGACGGTCATCTCCAACACTGAGTTTGGATCCCAGATCAAATATAGTTGTAATACAGGGTGAGTTGAGAGCAACATCTCATAGTGCAAGAGCTCTGGGACAGGAATATTACCTTCTAGTCACATCTCAGAAATGACAACTAACTTCTTACTGCCTGGTTTTTAACACCTGACTGCAGTGAACAAAAATATGACAAAATTACAGGGCAAATTTTTGTGCTTGCTGGGAACCACAGCAACTTTCCATTACTGTGGAAAAAAAAAAAAACAAGTGAAATAACCTAAGGAGAAGAGAGGTTTATTTTGGTTCATGGCTTTTCAGGTCTCAGTCCATGCTCCCTGGCCACATCACTTTGTGCCTATAGGGGCACTGTACATCACAGTGGGAATGCATAGTGGAGGGATCCCATTCACCTTATGGCAGCCAAGAAGCAAAGGGGCAAGAACGGACTGGAATCCCAGTATTTCACTGAAGACCATGATCTAACTTCCTTCCACTGTTCTCCTCCTCTTAAAGGTCTCACCATCTTACAGTAGCACCACAGGCTGGCAACAAATGCTTTAACACCTAGGCACATTCCAGATACAAATTATTGCAGCATAAAAGAGAAACATTCATTCACTCCCAAGGGTGGGAAGATGGAGTCAGTGTACAGAAACAATCTTAATTTGGACTAGATGCTACTGCAAGCAAAGAAAGACATGGAACAACTGAGTGAGAGAACAGATCTTCACAATGACCATAAAGTACATGGCTTAAAACAACAGAAATGTTTACTTCTAGTTTGCTCAAAATCAAAAAGTATATTTTAAGCTGGGTGTGGTGGTGCACGCCTGCAATCCCAGCACTGAGGAGGCAGAGGCAGGAGGATCATTGTGAGTTCAAGACCAGCCTAGGCTACATAAGTGAGCTCAAGGCCAGCCTGAACTGCATAGTGAGACCCTGTCTCAAAAAGACAAAAAAAAAAAGTGTATATTTTGAAAGTACCAAAACAAGCAAAAAAACCTATTACATAGTAAGCAACTTCCATAAGGGTATAAGTGGATTTCTCAACAGAGGACTTCCAACTAGGAGAGAAAGAGAATAAAATACTCAAATTTCTAAAAGAAAAAAAATATCTACCAACCAAGAATATGATACTATACCAACCAGCAGGGCTGCTCTTCAGAAAAGAAGGACAGATAAGGAAAGACAAACAAAAACTGTAGGAGCTGCTATTCACAAGACCTGGTTTATAAGAAATGCTAATCATCTTCAAGTTGAAATAAAAAGATGCTCTCTTAGTTACTTTTCTCTCTTTGCTGAGTCAAAATGCCTGACACCCAAAGTTAAAGAAGGAAAGGTTTATTTAGCTCCCAATTTGTAGAGGTTTCAGTCCCTAATTGACTGGCTCCAAGGCAGGGTGCCATGGCAGACAGGCATCATAGAGGAGAAACAGTTCATGGTGGGCAGAAGGTAGCAGAGCAACAAGGGGTGACCACAGCTCTTTCTATTCCTTATATCTTATCCTGGCTACTTAGGGCAGTGGGTATTCACACCCTTACTGTTAGCACCCTTGATCCTAGCATTGCACCATGAATCAATCCCAGTGTGATACACTCTAGATCCAGCCACCTCCTAAAAAGCCCTACCTATGGCTGCATGAGGTTTTGGAGGAACATCTAGACATAAGCCAAAATAGATGCTAACAGATACATGAAAAAAGGAAAGTATAAAAGTCATTGTAAAAGGAAAATATAATTAAATTCAGAATATTCATTTACTAAATGGTGGCTGATAAATTATTTTAACTCTATATTAAAAGACAAGTACATTTAAAATAACTACAGCTACAATAATTTGCAGTGAATACACAGCACATAAAAGATGCAAATTGTGACATTGTTAACAAAATACAGGAGAAGAAAATTAAAATATAGAGTTGTATGTATAGTCAAATTTAAGTTATCAGCTTAAAATAGACTATTATAATTCTAAGGTGTTTTATGTAAGCCTCATGGTAACCACAAACACAAAACCTGTAATAAATACTCAAAGGATAAAGTCATCAAACATACCACTATAAAAAATGAAATCACAAAGGAAGATAGGAAGAAAAAAAATGTTTTTAAAACCTGCAAAATGATCACAAATAACATGATGTCAGTGATACATCCTTACATTTAATAATTAAATATAAATATTAAATTCTTCAATCATAATATGTGGTGACTCAATAGATTTTTTTAAAATATCCAACAAAATTCTGCTAGCCACAAGAAACTTAATGTAGCCTTAAGGATATACATAATCTGAAAGCATACACAATCTAAAAGGATGGAAAAATATATTTCATAAAAATGGCAACTGAAGCAGAGCAATGGTAGTATTTACATTACCCGAAAAAATATTAAGCCAAAAACTGTCACAAGAGACAAAGTAAGTCACTATAAAGTGATAGTGGGCAATTCATCATGAAGATATGACAATTTAAATACATATGTATCCAACATCAGAGCATCTAAATATGAAAGGCAAATATTAAAAGAACTGAAAGAATTAATCAGCAATCGAATAGTAGTAGAGGATTTTAGTATTCTGCTTTCAGCAATGCGTAGATTACTCATACATAAAATCAGTAAAGAAAGAATAGATTTAGACAACAGCAAATATACATACATTTATATAGAATATCTTATCCAACAACAGCAGAATATACAGTCTTTTCAAGTGCACATGGGACAGTCTCTAGACTATATGATGAATTAAACAAACAAATCTTTAAAAACTCAAGACGATTTAATTATGATATCAAGTATCTTCTCCAGACACATGGTATGAAAGTAGATAACAATAACAGGAGAAATATAAAATTCATAACACTGTGGAAATTAAACAGCATAATCTTAAACAATGGGTCAAAAAATCAAAATACAAATAAAGATATTTTGACACAAATGAAATTCAAAGTACAACATACCAAAACTTATGAAATGTGGAAAAAGACGTGAAGAGGGAAGTTTATAGTGATAAATGTCTATCTTAAGAAATAAGAAACATGCAAATAAATAATCCATATACATCAAGGACCTAAAGAAAAACAAACTATGCTCAAAGAAGGAAATAAATAACAGCATAAATGGAGACTACAAAAATAGAAAAGAAGTATGAAACTAAGACTTGTTTTTAGGTTTGTTTTGTTTTGTTTGAGACAGGGTCTCACTATGTAGTCCAGGTTATCCTCTAACTCATGGCAGTCTGCCTGCCTCAGGCTCCCAAGTGCTGGGATTACAGGCATAAGCCACCATGCCTAGCTCTAAGTCTTGTTTTTTAAAATAAATAAAAAATGATAGCTAAACTATGAAAAAAAGGAAGGTTCAAAATTATAAAAGGAAGATGGGATAGTACAACTAATTTCACTAAATATGATAGATTATAAGAAACTGCTATGAATAATTACACTCCAGCAAATTCAGTAATTTAGAAAATGGACAAATTCCATTTACTGACCAAGAATGAATCATGAAAAGAGACAAAATCTGAACATACCAGTAAGTTAGGTAATTAAATCAGTAAACAAAAACTCCCAACAAAGAGAAGCTCAGCACATGGTGACTTCCTTGGTAAATTCTATCAAATATATAAGGAAGAATTAACACCAATACTTTACAAAGTTTTCCCAAGAATTGAAGAGTAGGGTGCATTTTCAAACTTTTTTGTGAGTTCTACATTACTCTGACACCAAAACAAGATGAGGACATTACATCAAAAGAAAATTATAGGACAATATCCCAAATGGACATAGATGCAAAAATTCTATACAGAATACTAGCAAACAAAATTCAGTAGCACATAAAGTAGACCATACCTTGTGGTCAAATGACATCCCTGAAATGCAAGCATAGTTCAATATATGCAAGTCAATAAATGTGATATGCCACCGTTAATAGGATGGATAAAAATAGTATGGCCATTTCAATAGATGCAGAAAAATTATTTTCCAGAACTCCACATCTTCTCATAATAAAAACTCAATAAAGTAGCTACAGAAGGGATGTAGCTACACTCTATAAAACATTATGGAAAAAATTGAAGAAGACGCAAAATATATGGAAAGATATCTTGTGTTCATGGATTGGAAAAATGGATACTGTTAAAATTTCCATACTACCCTTAAACAACTTACAGGTTCAGTACAGTCCCTATCAAAATGCTAATTACATTTACCAAACAGTATACAAAATAATCCTAAAATTCACATGGAACCACACAAATGCTAAGTAGCCAGAACAGTATTACAGAAAAGGGACAAAGCTGGAAGCATACACTCCCTGATTGAAAATATGCTAGAGAGCGAACTATAGTAATAAAAAGAGCATGGTAGTGGCATAGAAACAGATATATAGGCAAATGGTACAAAATAGAGTGGCCAGAAATAAATACTTTCCCCCAGTCGAAACAATGGAGAAAAGGTAGACTCTTCACTAAATGGTTTTGAAAAAACTAGATATCCACATGCAGAAGAATAAAATTGTAAACTTAGCTTGAACTATTTATAAAAAATTTACTAAAACAGATAAAAGATTTAAATGTTAAGAATTGAAACTTAAAATTACTAAAACAAAGCTAAGGGAAAAGTTTCTTAACATTAGTCTGAGCAATAGTTTTTTTCAATGTAATCCCAAAGGCACAGGCTGTAAGTATAATAAATTGTAAAATAGTCACCCTGTATTTTGGCCGCAGCATTTATACATATGTGTATATGTAACATCTTCCTGGCACTCAAGAAGTTTGTAGTATCTTTGAAAAACTTGAGCTGGAGGAAATAACTATAATTTACCTTAGATTATAAAAATGTTCCACATGATGATAAAGAGAAATATCATCCAGTTGAGAAGGCATAAAGGAGAAATCAAAAAAGCCCAAAGAAAGATGTGAAATTTGGGAATGCAATAGTGCTTTGACAAACAGAAAAAGTCCAGATGGCTCTACAATTCCTTCAAAGTAGTACAGAAGTGGGCACATCACCTGTGTGTTAGATGCATAACACCCCTTTTCTGTCCTCTAGGTTCCGGCTTATTGGCTCCTCCTCAGCTGCGTGCATACTCTCAGACAATACTGTTGCTTGGGACAAGGGACCACCTGTTTGTGAGAGTAAGTTGAAACATTTCTCCTCACCACATCTGCTAATAGAGTCTAACTTTCCTCTGGAATTGCAAATTTGTGTGTGGTGCTGGGAACCAAACCCAAGAACGTACATACTAAGCAAGTGCTCTACTACTAATCTCCTCCAGCCCTACAAGGAATTATAAACATATTTATCCAATTCCTTTTGTGCAATTGGCCCTTCAGATAGCAGAAGAGGGCTATAATGTCTCAAATATTCCCCTGGTGTCCTTGGCAACTTGTTTCCTTAAGTTTTCCCTTATGCTGCAACATGCCTTTTCTGAATGTGGGGCCTTAAATGTATATAAGCCTTCAAGTCTTATTTTTAATTCAGTTAACTTGGACTTAAATTGGTTCTGCAATTTCAACTACACTAGTCATATAGGTAAAGGTTTCTGAAACTGGACAAACCAACACTCACATCCTGGTGATTCAGCAAAATTTAAAAAGCACAGGGTACTGTAAAACAAAAAGTAAGAATTTATTTTGACCCATATCTTGGGATAGGCACTTAGGAAATAATATGGATTCTTTTCAAGGACTTCACCACATACTTTCCATTGCAGCATCCTTCATAAAAGTAGAAATGTTAAAGTAGCTATAACTCCCTTTATGTTTTAAACTATGATTTGGAAATAATCTATTGAAAAGAAAGGGATAAGTTAAACTGATTCTAAAGAATTTCCTAAGAAACAAAATATCCACATAAAATTATGAAAAATATATCTATACACTGGAGTGTTATGAAATCATAAAAATAGTATGAAGTACTTAACAACATAGACATGTACATTTTATTTTAAAAAAGAATCAAGACAGATAACAGATAAATAAGATCTCATTTTATTAAAAGATAATACATCTATGCTGCATCTCTGTTTTTAATCTGTCTTTAGTTCTATAAACTTCCTTATAACCAACTCTCAGTGTTTAAGGCTTTAAGTGTGAGAATTTGTTGATGAACTGTGACTCTTTTGTACCAATTCAAATCAAGCTTCTATTCACTAGACGTATATCTCTTCTGTTTATACAAATTAAGTGACTCTGTAATCACTTAGCCAGTGACAAAGATCTCAGCAGCCAAATTGGTATATTGCTGTTCCAGTGGGAATACGCCGGGACACATATGTCCAAGTGGCTTAAAATAATTTACATTTTCTGATGACTTACGATGCTTTTTCTATGCTGACAAGTATATGTGTGTCAACATGGTTATAAGCTTGCAAAGTACCTGTTCAAACCTTGTGCACATTATTTACTAGTCTGTTTACCTTTTTGTTTTATAAAAGTTCTTTATTCTTATATCTCTCCCAATAAATGTATTAAATATTTGTGTTTAAGTTGTTTAATATTAAATATTTGTGTTGTGATATTTTCTTTTAGGCTATACCTTGACTTTTTACTTTCTTAGTGATAACTTTTGATCATGGAAGTTCTACTTTTGGGGTGGGAGAGAGTGCTGGGCCCAATGTGTTAAACACACAATCTGTTAAACACAGAATCTACCATGAAGCCACACTCTCAGTCTTGGAGTTCTATGTTTTAATAGTGGTCAATTTATAAATATTTCCTTTCTAGTTACTGCTTTTTCTGCTCTACACAAGAAATCCTGGCCTGCTATAAAGAACATTTTCCCATATTACACTCTTTAAACTTTATTGTTCATGTTTAAGTCTATGACTTACATGGCATGTGGTTAAGTTTTAGGGAGTTCTGTCTGATTTTCATAGTAGCCAGGCTATTGATCTAATGCTGTTTATTAAAAAGATCATTGCTTGTACACTGCAATACAACAAAATCATAGCAATAAGTCAGATGACATTATATGTTGGTCTTATTCCAGTGAGTTGCTGTTATTTAACCACTAAGTTACTATAGCATTATATAAAGACTTGTTATCTGGTGGCAGATATATTCTTTTTTTTTTTTTGGTCTTTTTGAGACAGGGTCTCGCTATGCACTTCAGGCTGGCTTTGAGCTCACTTTGTAGCACAGACTGTTCTCAAACTTGCAACGATCCTCCTGCCTCAGCCTCCCGAGTGCTGGGATTACAGGTGTGTGCCACCATGCCTGGCTTGGCAAATATATTCTAACTATGAGCTTCTTCTAGATTTGCTTTCTTTGACTTTTGCATTTCCATAAAAATCTAAAATCAGCATGTCAATTTCCACAGAAAGAATCCTACTTGAATTTTATTGTTTCTATTAATTTAGTAAACCAATTTATAAACAATTAACAAGTTTACATTTTTTAGTTCTACCTTCATTAGCACGATACCCCCATTTTTGAAATATTTAATTTCTTTCAGTAGTATTTGCTAATTTACATTATAGAAGTATTTTACATCTTCCATTAGACTTACTCCTAGATATTATTTTTTAAAGTTCATTCTACCTGTTTGACCTTGGATCCAACAATCTTGCTAAACTTAATTAAAGTTCAATAATTTATATGCATATTCTTTACATTTGCTGGATAATTTGTTTTCAGGTGAAGTGTTTAGAACATTTAATATGGTTACTGATATAGTTAGGTATAAGTCTAACAACTGTTTATTTTCTATTTGTTTCATATTTTATTCCTTTATTCCTCATTTCTCACATTTTTAAAGTTAATAAAATATTTTTATTAGTCCAAATGTTCTCCTACTAGCACTGCTGCTACATTTATTTTGTTATTCTTCTATTTTTAATGAGTGACCTAGAAACACTGTACATCCTTGATTGATTACAGTCTAACTTAAATTGTGTTTTTACCAATTCTCAAACAATGCAAACAGAACCCAAATAGTTTAACTCCATTTATGTCCCCCTGTCATTTCCCTACTGCTACCTTTATATTCCACCAACAATTATTATTTTTGTTTTTACAAAAACATTTATTTATTTTAGTTATTTTAAGTCTGTAAGTAAAAGTTCCAATTTTAATAGTCCTACTGGGTCTATTTACATCATCGCTGATTTTGCTGGTTCTTAAGTATATTTTCTACTCAAGTGTCTGGTTATCTTGGTGTATCAGGAATTCTGTTTGAAAACTTGCCTGTAGAAATAAGTTCAAGGAGGTAAGTAAGCTGAACATATTAAATGAGTGTATTATCTGGCTTTCCATCACTAAAATGAAATACGTGAGATAATTAACTTAGACAGGAGAAGGTTTATTTGGGCTCTCAGTTCTAAGGTTCCCATCCATGAGCAAACAGCCCGTTGCTCTGGGCCTCTGATGAGCCTGATGAGCAGGAGCTCATGGCAGAGCAGAACTGCTTATATCATGAACCTATGATCAAAAAGAGTGGAGGAGACTGGACCCCCCAGTCTCTACTAAATGGGCATCCCCAGTGACCTATGGACTTCCCAAGAGGCCCCACCCTCTAATAGTTCCACCATAACAGCGCCACCCTAGGGACCCAGCCTTCAACACATGGTCCTAAAGGGAAGCAATGACATATTTTCCTGGGAGGATTTTTGCTGTTTTTCCTGCTGGAACCACTTCAATTCAGTCTCAATTTAATTCTCTCTTTTTTGGTGCCACCTACAGACCTTAAAGAGTGTTTCCAGTCTTTGAGACGGCAGATTATAAGTCTATGCCACCTCTCAGTAGCTTCCTTCGATTCAGCTCCCCACTCCCAGGGGAAACGCAGACCAAACGCCCGGCTCTTGCCTGCATTTTTATGTCTTCCCAGCCTGGATTTTCTCACCCTGGATTTCCATCTTCTACCTTCCCTTGGCCCAGCAGTGCTTCACTATTTGTTTAGCTCTCGGAGCTTCACAGATGTGCTCTTCAGATTTCGAACATTAGAAACCTTTCTTGGGACCAGTAGAAGTATTATTTAATGTGAATTATTGACACTACTATTAATAGAAGCAGAAACTTCCTTAAGAATTAAAATTATTGATTTTGAGTGTTTTGGGTGTTAGTTGAAATTATTTAGTTCTTGTTTATAACTATACAATATCCTACATACTACTCCTACATTTTCAGATGTACCTAGGGACTCTGAACAAATATATCATCACTTTTATGTGAACATTATTTTATATTAGATAAAGTGAATGGGTAAGGTATCTGTCTTTGACATGTTATGAAACATTTGAACTTGCATTTGGAAGTATGTGTTATGTGAAAATGTGCTAGAACTTATGGGAATGTTTTTCTGTTTTTATAGTTTTCTTGGCCAATTCTAGCTTACTTTATCTTCTTCAGTGAATATTGGAAATTTATTTTTCCATTTCTATCATTTAGATTTCTAAAATGTTTAACATAGTTTACAGTTTCATAAATATTCTCACATATATTCTCACATATATTCATTTTTTACTCCTATATATTTGTGATTTCTCTCATACTATTCCTTTTGGCAAAAGTTTTTATCATTTTTTAAAAACTATACTCAGTTAACAACCAAGATGAAAATTAATAAAACAAGGGAAAAAGAGGAAAACTGTATAAACTCTATAATAACATAATCCAAGAGCTATTTAAAATTGAAAGAAGGAAGGTTGTAGTAATAAATACAGATATTTACAGGAAATAGTAGAAAAGGCAGAACACATGCTATTATGCCAAGGTAAGTAACAACTTTACAAAAACTTGCCTACACATTAGCCAATATTAAAAGCAAATAATGTATATAAAAATAGTTTAGAGACTCGTTAGATTTTGTTCCCTCGTTATTTAAATCCATTTTATTTAACCTGCTCTCCCTTTCTGCAGGAATTCCTTGTGAGCCACCCCCAGCCATCGCCAATGGAGATTTCGTAAGCACCAACAGAGAAAATTTTGTATATGGAATGGTGGTGACCTATCGCTGCCATCTTGGAGCAAGAGGAAAGGAGATCTTTGAACTTGTGGGGGCGCCCACCATATTCTGCACCAGCAAGGATAATGAAGTCGGCGTCTGGAGTGGCCCTGCCCCTCAGTGCATTCTGCCTAACCAGTGCACGGCTCCGCTCGTTGAAAATGCAGTCATGGTATCTGAATACAGAAGCGTATTTTCCTTGAATGAAATTGTGGAGTTTACATGTGAGCCCGGCTTTGTCATGAGTGGCCCCTCCAGGGTGCAGTGCCAGGCCCAAAACAAATGGAGGCCAGAGTTACCAAGCTGCTCCTTGGGTGAGTCTGTCTGTGAGTGGGGAGGGGCCCACAGGGGACAGAGCTGGTGGGGACCAGGAGATGGGGTTTGATCTGGAGGAGGGTCTGTGTGAATGTGCTGAGTGCGTCAGTTTTCTTGGGTGGGTGGGCACATGTGTGTGTGCACAGTGTGTGCACTCAAACTGAGAAGCAAGCTAAATCTGAGCAAGGGATGTGAACTTGGAGGAATTTAGAGTTTCTCCGTGTGCAACACTTTCTGTAGCCTCCACCTTGAGTATAATAATGAGTAACATACAGTGAGTGATTCATCTGGCCAGGAGCTATCCTAGAGGTTATATGTGCATTTCATCCTTAAAACAAAGCTATAAGGCAGTTACTGTTCATTCCATGTTTCACAAAGACAGTAGGTCTTAGAGAGGTTAGATCATTTCTAAGATGAAATAGACTGAAGACCACAATCCAGTTCGGCCTGTCTCTAGACCCTTGGTTTGACAGCGTCCTCCTTAGATTCTTCAGGAATGAGGAGTTCATACAGGAATTGGTTATAAAGGTGTGGGAAGTGGGGCAGGACCAGCAAAAGGAGGAAGGCAGCATTGCCAGCAACTGGAGAGGGGCAACTATGACTGCAGAGTTGGAATTCAGGCGTCTACACTCAGGCTTCAAGGGCCACCTCTGCTCCCAGGATATAGCTGGTGTGGCTGGAGCCAGAGTGCCTGGCATTGGTAGAATCAGAGGATGCTGACAGAGTCATTGGAGCCAATTCCAGAAGTAGAATGGCTTCTCTCCCTTTCCCGCCCTTTAATTTGCATATGTGCTTCCAGTGAGCAGAACTACACCCGAGCTCAGCAGACAAAGCCAGGGTAGTGTTCAGACTTCTAGCAGAGCAGTCAAAAGAGAGTGGATGGTGTTAGGGTGGGGTACGAGGGACTCAGTGAATTTAATCAGCACAGCCCTTAAACAGAGCATCACAGTGCATTTATAAACACTAGGGCAAGGAGCCCAGAAAACAGACCCCATAACAGCAGAGTATCTGTGCTGTCATTAAGGAAGCCATCTCTTTTACTCCAGTACCCCATTTTACACTAGAGAAAACTGAAGTCCAGAGAGGCAAAATGAAACACTCAAAGCAAAGTGCAAATTATTTTTTTTCATTTAATTCTGTGAGACCCACGTGAGTTTTGATCCCCTAAGTTCAAACTAGTCCTATAAAGCAGCAAAGGAGCTGTGAAGTGACACTCTTCTATGTGTACCCTGCTTTCTAGTGAGGAGGACTACAGGCTTTTTAGGAGGATTGGTCCAGGGATTTGCATTTGCTTACGAGAATGGATGGGATGGCCTAGCAGCACCAGCTTTGTACAGTGTGGAGAGGAGAGGCAGAGTTCTCCTGCCCCTCATACCAGGGACCCTGGCACAGGTGGGAAAGAAGAGAACAGACACAGGTCCTGCTCCTTGCATCAGTGTGAAAGCTGAGTGGGGATTTGTCACATGAGACATGGGCACGGACGTTCCTTATTACCTAAAATGCAGAGCTACAAATTGGTGATAAGCCCTGTCTGGAAGGACAGATGGAGGCTTAGGGATCCATCAGTCCTAACAGTTCTGTTTGGATGAGCGGAAATTGGAAGCATCCAGAAGTAACTGCCAGGCACATGACCAGCGGTGTATACTTCAGACGAAAGCAGTACCTGGAGGATTCCTCCCAGTCAGAGCTCAGCAGTATACCAGTGTCGTCACTTTAGCAACATATTACTCAGCTGTGAGTGCACGAGTGTATGTGATTATTTGGTCACCAGTGAATGTGGGAAGTACCAACTATTTTTTTTACATACAAACTGTGATTTATGATTGTCTTGGACAGTTCACCATTGAAGAAAAGTGATTCTCATACTTTCATTCTTTTTCGCAGTATGTCAGCCACCCCCCCAAATCCTGCATGGTCAGCACACCCCAAGCAACCAGGACTTCTCCCCCGGGCAGGAAGTGTCCTACAGCTGCGAGCCAGGCTACGACCTCCAGGGGGCTGCCTCTCTGCGCTGCACACCGCAGGGGGACTGGAGCCCCGCAGCGCCCTCATGTGAAGGTGCGCAGACACTGGGCTGGTTTTCAGATCACGTTCCTTACCCTTCCTGTGGCAGCCTCACTCCTGTTCTGTTTTATCTCCTAGTGAGAGGATGTGACGTGTTCCCAGACCAACTCCCCAATGGTCATGTGCTGTCTCCGCCTCACCTCCAGCCTGGAGCGAGAGTGTCCTTTACTTGTGATGAAGGGTGAGTGTGAGTCTGCCTGGCCATTTATACATTAAAATTGAGAATAAAAAGTTATCCAAAGAAAGAAGGATTGGAGTAGCCTGAAAAGGTAAGAGCCAAGGCTGGGCGTGGTGGCACATGCTTATAATCACAGCACTGGAGAGGCTGAGGCACGAGGATCACTGTGAGTTTCAGGCCACACTGGGCAACATAGTAAGACCCTGTATCAAAAACAAACAAAACAAACAAACAAAAAAAGTGAGAGCTATGCATTGTGGTGCACACCTGTAATCCCAGCACTCAGGAGGCTGAGGCAAGAAGATTGCTGCAAGTCTGAGGCCAACCTGTGGTACACAGTGAGATCAAGGCCAGCGTGGACTGCAAAGTGCAACCCTGTCTCAGTAAAAAAAAAAAAAAAAAAAGACAGAATTGCAGTGTTGTGGCTGCATTGATGGCCTGTAGCGATTTATAATGCTTATCTTTCATGGCCCTTTTGACTTTGGGCAAGTGGTCCCAGATCTGGTGAACAAGGTGGAGAGGGACAAGGATGCACCATGATACTTTTATTTGACAGAAATTGCCGTAAACATTTTGAATCAGTTCAGACATGGAGGTAGCCACAAAAAGGCACGGAGCTGCTTCAGAAGGTGACAAGAATGATAGGATGAATGTGTTTAAAGTGAGGAGGAGGACTTTGAGATAGATTAACAGCCACATGTCTCTTACTGTAATGCATTTCTAAATTGTGAAACATTCACTAGATTTTAATTATACCTTACATACATCTAAGATATTTATTATTACATATTATAGAAAATTAGAGAATGATAGTAATTAAATTCTCCCTGAACTCAGTGGAAAAGGATAAGAAAAAAGAAGAGAAAGCTTGTATAATACAGCAATAAAATCCAAAATGCTTGTCACAAAAAATTCTGAAAAGATAAATAAATTAAGGCCATGCTTAGCGATGACTACAGAAAATAATGTATGTTAGCGATAGGGAAAAATCATTTATGATCCACAAACAAAACTTTAATATATGAATCCCACAAGAGAAACACACTTTCATCAAACCCGCATGGCTGCCCACAACACTGAGATGTGGAGGACGCCGAGTCCAAGGAGCTGAGCTAGGGTTCACATCTAGAGGCTTCCAGTCTGTCTTGGTTACTTTTCTCTCGTTGCTGAGACAAAATACCCAACGCCCAAAATGAAGGAAGGAAAGGTTTATTTGGCTTACAGTTTGTGGAGGTTTCAGTCCATACTTGGCTGGCTCTGAGGCAGAAGATAACAAAGCAACAAGAGCAAAGGGGGAGACAGCAGTCGAACTGCAAACAGCCAGAGCAAAAGGGAAGAATGGCGGCAAGCAGCTTCTTTCCCTGCCTTACATTGTAAACAGGCTATCCCCACCTAAGGGGCGGGTAGCTCTCACATAATCTCCATGCCCTCCTCTTCCACAGGCTCAGGATGTACACAAAGTAAGCACCCTGGCTTTCTGCTGAGTCACTTAGCCAAACCTCTAACTCCCCAAGTTGACACAATGTATCAACCATAACACTGTCCCTGGGACTCATGAACTAAGGCCCCAATTCTTCCTGTGGGAAATAGAAATAGATGTCACATTTATTTCCTATGCACACATATGACACGGGAAAAATAGAATATTAACTTCCAATTTATTAGAAGAAATCAAAGAGCTGAACCTACTTGATCCACACAGCAGCAAGAGGAAAGACAAGGAACAGCGAAGGTCCTGTCTGTCTCCTGTATCAGCAGTAAACCCACGGTGCTCAGGCAGGCCGGATGTGTTCATTGCTTCATTGCACATTGTGAAACCCGTAAAAGAGGCAAAGGAAAGAATGACGAAGTGGACCGGACATACGGATTTCAGTAAATTTGACCTAATATCCCTTGCAGAACTTCAAAGTAGTCTCAAAAATAGCAAATCCATGGTCCTTCTGAAAAACAGGCCTCAAACAGGTTAGCAAATACTGAATGTTGGGGCCAGGGATATAGCTCAGTGGCATAGCACTCACCTGGCAAGCTCAAGGTGTTAAGTTTAATTTCTGGTACCAAAAAGTAAATATTAAATGTTGTAGAAAAATACTGCACCTAAACACTGAATGCCACACACACACA